GCGATATGGCTGGGTGTCGCAAACAGTGGCGCTCATGCATCTATTCATTATTCTTGTAACCTCAGTCTATGAAAATGTTCTACCTTTCGCTTAAATCTGCTCTCAACATTCTAACGATCACTCTGCTGTTTTACCCAAGTGGGCAACCAAAAGACAGCAACCAAAACCGGCGCACGAAAGTGAATGGTCAATGGTTGTAAGAACTGAACTGAACGTAGCTCCCATCTTCTGGAGCAGGCCATGGTATTCTACCTCTTCGACTGACGATGTACGCCCGACGTTTCCGAAACAATGCAGATTGAAGTTTGCTTACTCCATTCATTGATATCATAGTAACTGTCCGATTTTTGTCGGTCCATGAAACCAGTTTTGCCACAACCTAATCTGATCAATCAGAAAATCGTCTTCCCCGGGCATAGAGTCTGACGACCCTCTTTAACTGAAGAGAATCGTGCAATGGCATTGCCATTTCTATCGATGAAACTAAAACCTGTGCGATAAGTGATTTGTAGTAAAAGCCAAATGCTGTAGGTATTCCATCGTGGCGCAATTAACCGAGCACTGAATAGTATGCAGGACCTGCACGTAGCAGGACATCATCATTCGTCTTTTAAACAGAATCCAATAGTTAGTATGGGTAGCACGGAAGAAAACCTTATTTCTGTCATTCTGCGGGGAAGTAGGCAGCATGAATCATGGCTTCTGTTTACTTTACATCAAGCGTTCCTGTTAGGCTTTATTGAACCATGCCTTTTGCTGTCAACAATTTGGGCAATTCCAATATGTTCGGGAAAACCTCAGCCTCAATGGGCTTTGCTCACCAATTTACTTAGGACCTTGCTCAGTAAATCACTAATAAAGTACTGTTGTCTGGTTCTAGAGAAAGCAGTTCATTCCTACTGAACAGGGGTGTCACAGACCCAATCCAAAAGAAAAAAGGTGAAGACCGAATTCTCAATTATTTTACCGAGTTGCCAGTAGAACACGGTTTCACCCAGAGTTGGAAACGTATGAGAGCACGTGCTCTGACGGGTTGCCGCTTCCGTGAGTGACCAACTGTAATGATCCAAAATCAACTGCTTTTATCTAATTACTTTTCACTGTCGTTACAAGAGTACCCTATGCGCGTTGGCTTGTTCTGTTTTCTCCAGTTGATCAATCAACACTGCTAGTTCTTCTGGATATTGTGTGTATCATCAGCCCTGTGCTGTTCCTCGATTGGTTCCTCATGGAATCCCATTGTTGTTGTTGTTGTTCTTGATTATGCGGGTGAGGCATGGCCGTCATAGAATACAGTCCATGGATCCTTCATCTTTTACTAGAACCACACTGTTGTACCGAATCCCTTGTGTTGCATTGGCTTGGGTTCACTTTGATCATGCGCGTATCTCGACTACCGATAATTAATAAGCCTGTAAATTCTTACAGAACAATTGGTATTCGACACACAGTAGTAGCGACTGAATACTGGGAAAGTAATTATTTGATTGGCAGGTTACAAGTGTACCCTCTGAATCAGTCTCTATAGCACTAACTTAGAACAATACCAGAGAGTCCATATACAACTAATTATTAATGATAGTAGTAAATAATAAATTCTTTCAATTCTCTTTTAATTTATTGAGCATACAAATAGGCAGTCAACTTCAGGAAGGGGGCCATGGCCAAACAAAGGCTGCCTAAAAAAATGCGAAACGGGAAGGTGACAGTGGTGGGAT